GTGAGAGAGGCGGCGTGTTCGGCGTGCGGAGCGTCTTCCCAAGTTGATGTTTGGTCATCTGCCAGTGGGGCGTGAAATCGAGATATGAACCAAAAAGCAAGAGTACCTGAGGCTTCTTGTTCTAAACCTGTTCACATGTAACCCCTAGAGAGGACGTACCGGCTGCGACTGCTGTGGGGTGTCTGGCGTGCTGAAAGAAAAGTGGCAGGGAAAACAAGCACTTGAGTCAGGCTCCGGGAAATTCAAAACTTTTAAGAGTTGGCGACAACTTGATGACACAGAGCAAACGACTCGACGCAGCATCCCTTCTGACAACCACCACACGCCCTGACAACCGTAGGGATGTCACCACCTACGAGACGTCTCACCTTCTGAAGAAGACTAGGCTTCGCTGGTACGAGTTGAGAGGGGAGAGATAGCACGCGTCGTATGGCACACAGAGCAGACCAGAGCCAGCAGCCAGCAGGGTTGTCGCTAGCGGGCGCCGAGGAGGGGCATCGCAAATTGCATTTCCGTGTACACCGCTTCGAATCCGGGGGGCCTCTTGTCTGAACAGTGAATCTGATCGCCACTAGGTTTGCTTAGCTTGACATTCACTGAGCACCACAGCTGCAGAGACCATCGTGCCAGAAAACAAACAAGCCCGTTCAGAGGAAGCTGCAGTGCGCGACGTGGGCTAGCCTGAAAAAGTCAGCAGGTGAGTTTGATTCAGTCCTTCGCAGCTGTCTTTCCCAAGAAACCACCGCAGCAGATACGGTATGTGAGCGGTCCGTTGTGCGACGATTCTACAGCAGCAGCCGGTCCTCTCTGCTCTCTGGTTGTCTTGTCGTGTGAGATCTGGGCGCTGGGGATGCTCAATTGCGCACTTCTTGGCGAGGTGCACAGGGTTGCAAGACCGTAAAGCTCGTTGCTGAATGCCGAAAAGGTGAACAGCAGATCGACCATACCCCCCGTGTATTTATCGATCGATGTTTGAAAAATTGGTGGCATCCACCAACGCCCTTCTGGTACAACTACAAATTGGGTTAGCTTGTATAATTCATAGCATATGCATGCGAAGATACGTGGTGAATGCATCGTTTCTATAATAGTCGTATGTGCCCGCCGCAAGTGTCGTTTCCTCTTTCGCGGCCTTGTTGCGTGGAAAAAACACTGTTCTAGGTAAACGTGTGCAGTACAAACTTCCTCGCTTTCGTCGCGAGGGATGAAAGCGATGTGCGACGAAAGCGATGTAAGATGCAGTGCGGGAGTGCGGGCCAACTATTTACTACTAGCCGCAACAGCGGTACCTCGTGCGTTGTAGGATCATCGTATTGCTCAACCCCCAGAAAGGGTAAAGAAGAACGCGAAACGTGCGAGGGGAGCTTTCTCTCTCTCTCTCTCTCTCTCTTTCTCTCCCTCTTCTTTCTCTCCCTCTTCTTTCTCTCGAGGATATCTACATCTTTCCCAAAACCACCCTGTTCGGCACCGGCAGCAGCCTCTTGGTAGTGGAGACTTTCGCGCGAACGATCGGTCGGACACCTGTTCGTTCGCCCGCACTACGTAGCTCCAGCTGCTTGTGTGCGGTACCCAAGCTTGACGAGATGCACTGCTTTTCTTTGGGATGTGGTCGAACCGTAGGTTGCATGAGATATCACACCCCCAGGACCGAAAGCTCGGTTACTCTGCCGGAAAAAAAGCCCGTGGCGGTGCCGAAAATGGCGGGAGGCGTTGCAACCGCAGCCTCGTCGAGAGCTTTCTTTAAACGCATCATTTGACTTTGACTGACATCTTGGTCGTGGAGTCAATTGAGCTTTGAGATTAGGTTCAGGGGGCATGGTGTCTTACGCAACCTATGGTATCCCTGCACATCCGCGCCTTCGGAGAGGGTGCAGCGTGTCTTTCGTGTCCTTGCAACAACAGCAGCACCATCACCACCAGCACCAGCACCAGCAGCTCGTGTATTCAGCCGGTTACTCTCGTCCCATCCACTACAAAGACTCCAACACCCCCCCCCTTTGACTGCTGCTGTGGGTTTATCCCAAAAGGGCAGTCTTTCTCTGAGTGTGTGTTTTCAAAGCACTCTCAGACGACGAAACCGTCAATAGTGTGCTTTGTTTGCAGTATTGTAGAAGTAAATTAACCTCCCCCCCGGTGTTCTCCCACTCCCCAACAGTATCAGGGCCGATTCTTAACAAAGCTCAATTGCTCCACGACCACGGATGCCAGAACCAAGGGATACGTCTTCTGACGAAGCTCTCGACAAGGCAGTTCCAACGCCGCCATTTTCGGCACCTGCTACTTTGTTTCAGATTAACCGAGGTTTGAAAATGGCCCCAAGGAGGGTGAGCATGCGTACCTTGTGCAACATTCACGGTAAATTGCTGGGAATTTTCCTGGAATTTTCCTACCTCGCATCCGGCTAAGGGGCAGTGGAACTGTTGGAGCTAGCGACTGGTTGAACGCACCTAAGGTGTGACGGTTTTAGTGAACAGAACACCGTACGCACCGCCGAACCCGCGATGGCAACCAATAGCCCAACACGGAGCAGCTGCATGCTTTTGAACGCCCGATATTGCACGCCATGTGTGCGACCAGATGCAAAACCAACCAGAGGATGAGAACAACCAGAGATTGACAACAATCAGAGGTTGACATGATCCCTAGTTGCTACCTGAGACTCATTGGAGGGAAGGCTCACACGTATGATTTGGGCGGTCTCTCCGAAGGCTGTTGTTGCCATTATTGGGGTTATTTGCCAAAATAAATGTAGCAGGGTGAAGGGATGCACGCCCAGACTTTTTTGCATGGGGGGTGGGAATGGCTACGCGTTGCCGTTGTCGCTTGCAACTGCTATCGGACAAGAACAACACACGTCCAGTTCATAGTCTACACCTTCCTCCGATCCACCACCTGAAAGCACTATCTCGTCCGAGCGCAAGCATTCACAGGCACGCCTAACAAGGCGACCTCTAAATTACGCGTCCCTCCCATTCGCGTGGGTTTGACCAGTACGGATGTAAGAACCGGAACGGTTTCTCATGGGAAGACAGCGACAACGAAAAACATACGACGGCAAGCCGCACTGTGTTTTTCCTGCTGCCGCCGGCCCGCTGTTGCCCCAAACCACCACCACTTTTCCCGTCAACTATGTTAAGGGGAAGAAGAAGAGATGTCGTCGGTAACGATCGGAGATGTGACCCTGTCCGAGGAGGAGCTGCAAGATGGCTTCAGCGCCGAGACTATCTTCGCGACCCCGGGATCTAGGGGTAAGAGGAAAACCCAGCTTCCCCGTGGGAAAAATCGGGGGTGTCTTGAGTGTTCCCTACCAGCAGTGTTTACCGCGGATCGCCTTCACGAGGGTGATATTTCTTGCTCGGAGTATTACAGAGGGGGGGGGTTGTATCCCTGAGATGAAAACCCAAACCCCCAACCCCACCCGCCTCTACACCACGCTTATTACTTTTTTCCTCCATACCTCGCGAAAGCTGCTGTTTAGTGCTCCGATGGTTGCGTGCTCTCTGCTCATCGAACCCTCTGCTCGGTTGTTGTTGATTTTATTTGGTAGTGTGGGACAGAGGAAGAGAGCCCCGCGTGGTGGTCGGGTACTGCTGTGGCTTGTCGTCCCTGGTCTTGGCACAACAACGTTTTGAGGCGGGGGTGATGATGGCGTCGTCGCATTATATGTTTGAAAGAAGAGACGCTTTTGTTGGATCCGTGTGTTTAGCCGTCGCTTTTCGGTTTCTGTTGTGGTGGTCTTCGGGTGTGGGCCTGCGTTTTTGTGGCAGGGTTCACGTTCGACGATATCATCGCGCTGCCGGGGTCCATCGACTTCGGTGTGGAGGAGGTCGCTCTCGACACGCGCATCACAAGAAACATACCCATGGTGAGCGCGGGACACTGGGGGGGGGGGGGGGGGGGNGGGGGGGGGGGGGGGGGGGGGGGGGGGGGGGGGGGGGGGGGGGGGGGGGTGAGTAGGTATTGTGTTGTTGTTGCTGTTGTTGTTGCTGCATCACAAGAAACATGCCCATGGCGAAGAGAGACACAGGGAGGGGCACAAGTACTGGATCTTTGTGAGTGCGGTCGAGAGTCGGCAAAGGCGGAGATGAAGGAGTAGATGGGGCTGCAGGACGTGGACCTTGTACTCGCTGCGGACGTGTATGCCCGAGAGACGACGAGGGAAAAAGAAAATCCCGACCATTTTCGTTTTCTTTTTGCCGACCGTCTTTGCAAGCGTATGGCGTGCAGTCAGCAGTTGGCTTCATTGGTGCCTTTGCTCCCCTTGCTATCGATGCTGTTGGTGTTATCGTTGCTGGACTGTTGGAGTACTTCTTTTTTTTTTTTTGCCTCCCATTATTGGACTGTTGGGGGATGATCATTTTGTTGCTGTGGCGATTGGTTGTTGTTTTTTCATTTTCAAGACGTCGGTCCCAAGACACGTGCTCAAAATTTTGTTGCTGCTGTTGGTGTTCAAGACGTTGTGAAGGACATTTGCTCAAGATGTTGCTGCTGCTGCTGCTGCTGCTGATGATGATGATGATGATGATGATCCTTTGTCTTTGTTGCCGCTGCTGCTATTGTTTCTGCTGTTAATGCGGTCCAGGCGTTTCCGTTCGCGTCTGCAGCGATGGACACGGTGACCGAGAGCAAGATGGCCATCGCGATGGCGCTGCAGGGGTGCATCGGCGTCCTTCACGCCAACTGCCCGTGAGTAGACAGAGGCCTACCAGCCTGCAGGGAGGATAGATAGCAAGCAGCAAACAGCACTATCGTGCCTGTGTAGCCTAGTGGCGAGACGCAACAGACCTGCAGGGAGGGTAATGAGCAGCTCAACGGCAAACTGCCTCGGCCGTGTAGCCCAGCAGCAAGGGCAATCGGGATCGAACCAACGTTGGGGAGAAGCCCTGAGCTGGCTTGTGTCTACGATGCCTTTGGGTGATCGTTGTTGTGTTTGTTTGTTTTGCAACGTGGTGGGGCAAGGTAGTGCCGGCATCAAGTCTCCGCTAGAGGCCGCTCTCGCTGCAAACCGCAACGTGGCATGATCAATAGTAAAGTAGATGCCTTCACAGGCATCGTAGTTATTAACATGCTGTTTAAATGCGATAGTGGATGTTGGCATCTGTTGGTTATCGAAAGGGCTTGAGGATAAAGAGACAGACGATTGCAGAGTTTGTTACTGTTAATGCGATGGTTGTCGCTTGTTTCCCAGCTCTTCTTCAGCTGGGAACAAAGGTCGAGAGGCCGGAGACGGAGCGTTATGATGGTGAAACTGCCGCTAGTGTCCTACCCCCCTCGCGCCCCCGGCACGCGTGTTTCGCAGAGAGTTGGCCTCAACAATTGTGTGTCTTTGTTGGCATCGATCATGCTAGCGGGCTGACCAAGGAAGAGGCGCCAGCCTCAGTGCGGCTGAAAGCAGAAAAATGCTTCTAAAGGCTTGCCATGATCTGGCGTGCGTGTGCGCCATCCCTGCTCAGGCCCCAAGAGCAAGTGAAGCTGGTGCAAAGGGTGAAGGGTTACGAGAACGGTTTCATCTCTAACCCGGCGGTGATGTCTCCGACGTGCACCGTGGCCGACCTGGACGACCTCAAGGCGGAGAGAAACATATCGGGTACGTCCCTCCTTGTTGGCGTTGTTGTCGTTGTTGTTGTTGTTGTTGTTGTTGTTGTTGTTATTGTTGTGGTTCTCGTCGTCCTTGTTGTTGATGTGCGTGCATTTATTTCTGAGTTCTATCGTCCATAATCTGCTGTTTCGTCTAGCCAGGCGCTCGCAGTAGAGGTTGGATACGTTCGTTGTTGTTATCGTCGTCGTCGATATTGTTCGATATATTGGTAGTTGGTACGTTGGTACTGCTGAATGATGTATTTCCTGACGTTCTCTTTCAATGACGACCTGCATGGTGGAGCAATGACGGCCCTACGTTTGATGGCTCCATGGATATTGGCCTGAGATTTGTCCTTACTTTTCGGGTGGATCTGACCTGATGACCTGATGTAGACTTGCTTGTAGTCCGCGACCACGACTCGACAACTCATCGCCCCCGCGACCGCTGCCACCGCCTGCTGCTGTTGCTGCCGCTGCTACTCCTGCTGCTGCTGCTGCTGCTGCTACTCCTGCTGCTGTCGCTGCTGTGCTGGTTAGGGGTACCCATCACCGAGGACGGGTCGATAGGGTCTAAGCTAGTCGGTCTGTGCACAAAGAGAGATCTGGACCTTGTTGATGAGAGGCACGAGCCGCTGTCGGAGCACATGACGCCCGTAGATGATCTGATCTTGGGGAGGGAGGGGTGTTCCCTGGAGGAAGCGCAGGAGATCATCAAGGTCTCCAAGAAGGGTGAGGAGAGGGAGAGGGAGACAGACAGACAGGCAAGGCACACACGCAGACAGAGACAGACAAGCAGACACACATTGAGAGAGAGATACACACACACACACACAGAGAGAGAGAGAGAGAGAGAGAGAGAGAGAGAGAGAGAGAGAGAGAGAGAGAGAGAG